ACATGAGCGAGGGCCACCATCCTCCAGCAGCAACATGAGCGAGGGCCACCATCCTCCAGCAAGCAGCATGAGCGAGGGCCACCATCCTCCAGCAGCAGCATGAGCGAGGGCCACCATCCTCCAGCAGCAGCATGAGCGAGGGCCACCATCCTCCAGCAGCAGCATGAGCGAGGGCCACCATCCTCCAGCAGCAGCATGAGCAAGGGCCACCATCCTCCAGCAGCAGCATGAGCGAGGGCCACCATCCTCCAGCAGCAGCATGAGCGAGGGCCACCATCCTCCAGCAGCAGCATGAGCGAGGGCCACCATCCTCCAGCAGCAGCATGAGCGAGGGCCACCATCCTCCAGCAGCAGCATGAGCGAGGGCCACCATCCTCCAGCAGCAGCATGAGCGAGGGCCACCATCCTCCAGCAACAGCATGAGCGAGGGCCACCATCCTCCAGCAGCAGCATGAGCGAGGGCCACCATCCTCCAGCAGCAGCATGAGCGAGGGCCACCATCCTCCAGCAGCAGCATGAGCGAGGGCCACCATCCTCCAGCAGCAGCATGAGCGAGGGCCACCATCCTCCAGCAGCAGCATGAGCGAGGGCCACCATCCTCCAGCAGCAGCATGAGCGAGGGCCACCATCCTCCAGCAGCAGCATGAGCGAGGGCCACCATCCTCCAGCAGCAGCATGAGCGAGGGCCACCATCCTCCAGCAGCAGCATGAGCGAGGGCCACCATCCTCCAGCAGCAGCATGAGCGAGGGCCACCATCCTCCAGCAGCAGCATGAGCGAGGGCCACCATCCTCCAGCAGCAGCATGAGCGAGGGCCACCATCCTCCAGCAGCAGCATGAGCGAGGGCCACCATCCTCCAGCAGCAGCATGAGCGAAGGCCACCATCCTCCAGCAGCAGCATGAGCGAGGGCCACCATCCTCCAGCAGCAGCATGAGCGAGGGCCACCATCCTCCAGCAGCAGCATGAGCGAGGGCCACCATCCTCCAGCAGCAGCATGAGCGAGGGCCACCATCCTCCAGCAGCAGCATGAGCGAGGGCCACCATCCTCCAGCAGCAGCATGAGCGAGGGCCACCATCCTCCAGCAGCAGCAGCACAACACGTGGGAGTCATGTGTTTACCTGCACTAATATTCCCTCTCCAATTAGCGTGACGTTAACTGCCATCATTAAGTCTAACAACACCAGGGAGAGAGAGAGAGAGAGCTGTGGCGGCCGTGAATGAAGTGGTCGACCGCCGCTGACAGTGATGACGTCTGTGCTCAGGGATTAATGAACTACAGGCCACCGTACCCACCGCGCTCCATTACTGTATAAAGACTCAGTTGAATATCGGATGAGTGTCATTGTGTGGTGACAGTGCCGGGAGCCGTGCTGGTCGGCGCCGGCAGCCCCGGGCCACGATTCAGAGGCTGCAACCATCATCATTACCGATCAAAACATTCGACAATAACTCGCCCACAAACCATAAATAAGCCTCGGACAGTCCGTCACAATGTAATGAGCTTTCTTTGAGCACTCAGATAGCGAGAAATATAATGGAGCGGTGCAGAGGAGGCTAAGCCACAGAGGGCACTAGATATTACATCCGTCATATGATAGTATACGCCGCTAGACCTTATAGGGAGGAGCGCCGCCAGCCGACGCACCATTCAGCCCGGGAAAGTAATGGCCATTTAGAGTGGGTAGCGCTCTCATAAAGGGGTGTATGCAGATTGGCATGTGCCTATTCAAATTAGCGGTGGGGTCCTTCATAACAGGGGCACGCCCGACGGGTGTGGGCACGTGGTGACAGCAGGAGATAATCTGCATACCCCGCCCTACCCTCGACCACCAAGCTTACCACACAACTGCTCTGCCCTCACTCTCTTCACCTGGCAAACTCTACATGAAGGAAGACTTTCCTCCACCTGAGAGGTCAACACACCCACAACACTGACGCCCTGAGAGACGCCCAGGCCTCCACCAACATCTCAAGACACATCGTGCATTTTTTTTTTTTGCTTTTTCGGGGACAAGAGTTGAAGTGAGGGTGAGGATGAGAGGCACGTGAGGCTGGCGCCCCGGGCACAGGCCGGGCAGGGGGAAGGGTTCGCATCCCAGCTGGTAATAATCATGCCATACAGCGACACCATGACAATATCCTCCCACCAAAAAAGTATGCCTTGCCGAGTGGCTTCCTGTGCGTCCCCCATACTGTCACTCACAGCTCTCTCAAGGAGGAGTTGTTTATTGGGTCTGCTGGAGGGGGGAGCACAGGGGAGTATGTCTGCTGGAGGGGAGAGCACAGGGGAGTGTGTCTGCTGGAGGGGGGTAGTGCGTCTGCTGGACGTAGGAGCACAGGGAGTGTGTCTGCTGGACGGGGGGAGCACAGGGGAGTGTGTCTGCTGGACGGGGGAGCACAGTTGAGTGTGTCTGCTGGAGCGGGAGCACATGGGGAGTGTGTCTGCTGGACGGGGGGGCACAGGGGAGTGTGTCTGCTGGACGAGGGAGCAGAGGGGAGTGTGTCTGCTGGACGAGGGAGCACAGGGGA